TGGTATCCAATTCGATATTTTGCACATTTGGTCTAAAATTGACAAATAAAATATTGAAATTTACAAAAAAAAATGTTCCAAATTCTTTCATTAGAAAGAACACTACATTGCCTGCTGACGCCATTTTTTCTAGTTTATTTGGGCAATCAAATGAAGGCTTTCAGCAAAAGATGTTGTAATGTCTGATATTTGTTTGCATTCTACAGACATGATATCAGGTGTAATACTGTTGTACCAGGATGGATTACAAACACCAATGACAGAAGCTGTGCCAGAAAAGGTCATGACAAAAGTAAGGAGATATCTTCTGTTTACTTTTTTCATGGGTACTTAGGGGTATATCTGTCTGTGAACTACTATAAAATACTCAATCTTCACTTGTAATTTATTTTCACTGAAGGGATGATTCAGTGAAAATAAAATCCAGTGAATATACCTTTGATCCTATATTTTACATTTAACTCGCCGAAATCAGTGAAAATAAACCTTTTACAAAAGTCTTTTCAGTGAAAAATAATTCTAGCTAAATTAAAGTATTTTGCAGTATGTTGCATTGCAACGCACTTAAATTTTTTTGGTTCCATATCAGTGACATGCTTTCTATATACTGCAATATTACAAAAATTGACAAAACTAATGCAAATATAACAAATTTACTTGAAGATTGTACGGGTGAACTGTGACACAACTAAAACTACAAACATTGCTATGCTTATACACACTGCATGTACGTACTCCCCTCAACGGTGATGCAAGCTAAGTTGAAACAAATCAGTATTTCTATTTCTGCTGACTTTTTCCTGATTCCCCACAGCACTTAGGTATGGTACCCCTTGGCAGGCTTGGCCAACCAGAAGATGTCGCTGATGTGTGTCTATTTTTAGCCTCAGAAAAAAGTAGTTATATTACTGGAGCCAGTATTGAAGTGACAGGTATGGATAAAAACACTTTTAGGAATGGGGGTGATAGGTATGATGTGTAATTAGTCATTTAGTGAGAGACATGTAATGAGTTCAACCATTTAATCATAGGGGAGATTAAATTGGGGTATGTGTTAAAGGGAATGGAATGGATTGCACCACGTGCTCATGGGTAATTAACTCCACCTCTGTCCATTAAGTAAATGAATGCTTATTATGCTCGCTTACTCAAACTGTGATTGACAGGCATTTTGCATACATTAGCCGCCATTTTAAAATCAGGATTTTTACTTGTTTCGATCGAAAACAACAACATTTATACATCAAAAGCCCAACCAGATGAGTGTAATCACGCATGCCCCTATAGAAATGTATTTGGAATCACAGCTTGATCTCTAAACATAGTAAATGGCACAATTCCAGGAGCTCACACCATGTGAGTGGCTTGGTTCGGATTAGCATATTAATTGCGGTGGCCATCTTGCCCCTATTTATAGTATCTGTTCCCTTTTAAATATCTGCAATATACTTACATAGTGAAGAATTATAATTATATATTCCATTTCACAGTCAATTGGTTATTGGCTATTTTGCATACTACTTGTGTAAATACAATTACATGCAAAGAAACCGTTTAATTTCCACTCTTGTATCACAGTTAATTTTTACTTTTCCTTACACAGGTGGACTCTTCATGTGAATAATGTAATTGTGGGAATGTTGCCACAACAGTCTATGGGTCATCAACTGTGGTTGAATGTGATGATGTAATCGATAGCTCTACGTAGACTCCAGATATGAACACAGACTGGACTGTCTGCTGTAGCAATCCATGAATACTGTCACGGCATTTTCAGATTTCCACTAACAAAACATGCCAAGAATTGTGGTTGTCTTTGACTGCATGAAAATCGATGAAATTGCATGTAGCTTTTTATCCTGCATTATAAGGAAATATACAAACTGCAAACTTTGACAGTTTAGTTGCCAGTATTTCCTCTTTAAAAATTGTCAGAGCATATTATTATTATCAACAGCATACAAGTATAAAATTAATTGAAAGAAAGGTTATCAGATTGGTTACTTGGTGGGGAAGGAGAGGGAAGATTGATTGTTACTTTGGGAACCCTGGCTGATAAGATATTTATACAAAATCCATGCTTAGTAAGCATGGGGAATAGGGTTTGCAGGTTGTAATTTAGAGATAGAAATTGTATATATTGCCAGAATTGTAAGAACACTCCATTGCTAACTACTAAACATTAGCAATTTCAAATTCTAAGCTGTTGTACTGACTCTCATACTAAAAGTTTTGCAGTTCTTTTTATTATTCAAAAATGCCAAAATCCATTCACTCGACATTTTTTAATCAAATATTATCAACTGCTTGAAAAAGTTTGTTTTGGCAATTTAGAAAAAAAAAATATTAGTGTAATCTGCTTTCTTGTAATAGCTATTTTTTTTATTGAAATAATATGTACTGTTAAAATATTTGCAATAGATCACATGCAATGTTGTTTTGATGAATTTGGATTTCAAGTTGAACAATATATCAAAACTAACATTTTGCTGATTGAGTTTTACTTGGCTACTATCTTTGATTTTGTATATTCTGCGCAAGATGGAATGAAATTAATCATACTCTTTAATAAAGAAAATGTTGATTTTATTTGTTGGCTGGTGGTCATTTGTTGTAAGGAAAATTCTTGATGAGAGTTGTGCTCATGATAAAAAACAGTACAACGGAGTACTGCGTCTCAAATGTATAATAATAATAATAATAAAGAGTACTTAACCTAAATTAGCTCCGAGCACATAACAAAAAAGTAAATTTCAATTCAAATCAAATAGGTGAGTCTTCAGTCTCCAACCTATTACAGAAAGAGTCATGAGAATTTGAGTGGCGGACATCATATGGTAGATTGTTCTATGTAGCGGGGCCAATATGAGCTAATGTGCGTTCACCATATGTTTTGGTTGAAACACACGGTTGCAAGAAAATACAAGTGTCTGAAGATGAACGAAGTTGTCTGGCATGAGTATACAGTTGAAGTAGTTGTGATATGTATGATGGATCGGTGGCAGCTATGGAATTGTAACAAATAGTTCCACTGACATGGTCTGATTTCTTTGATTTACAAATTAACCAGGCAGCTGTGTTTTGAACACGTTGCAGTTTGTTGTGATAGTGAGAGGACAGCCGACCAGTAGACTATTACAATAATCTAGACAAGAGAGTACAAATGCACAGATTAGAGTCTTGGTAGCATCAGGGGTCACAAGAGAACCAAAGATGCACTTGTCACATTCTCCCAACTCCTGCCTCCTCTTATTACTGTAATCTTCTAACTCCTGCCTTTTCTGATTACTGTAATATTCTAACTCCTGATTACTGTAATTTTCTAACTCCTACCTCACCTGATTACTGTAATATTCTAACTCCTGCCTCCACTTATTACTGTAATCTTCTAACTCCTGCCTTTTCTGATTACTGTAATATTCTAACTCCTGATTACTGTAATTTTCTAACTCCTACCTCACCTGATTACTGTAATATTCTAACTCCTGCCTCCTCTGATTACTGTAATATTCTAACTCCTGCCTCCTCTGATTACTGTAATATTCTAACTCCTGCCTCCACTTTTTACTGTAATATTCTAACTTCTGCCTTCTCTGATTACTGTAATATTCTAACTCCTGCCTTCCCCAATTACTGTAATATTCTAACTCCTGATTACTGTAATATTCTAACTCTGCCTTGCCCAATTACTGTAATATTCTAACTCCTACTTTCTCTAATTACTGTAATATTCTAACTCCTACCTTCTCTGATTACAGTAATATTCTAACTCCTACCTCACCTGATTACTGTAATCTTCTAACTCCTGCCTCCTCGATTACTGTAATATTCTAACTCCTGCCTCTGATTACTGTAATATTCTAACTCCTGCCTCCACTTATTACTGTAATATTCTAACTCCTACCTCCTCTGATTACTGTAATATTCTAACTCCTGCTTCTTCTAATTACTGTAATATTCTAACTCCTACCTCACTTGATTACTGTAATATTCTAACTCCTACCTCACCTGATTACTGTAATATTCTAACTCATACCTCACCTGATTATGGCAATCTTCTAACTCCTGCCTCCTCAGATTACTGTAATATTCTAACTCCTGTCTTCCCGAATTACTGTAATATTCTAACTCATGATTACTGTAATCTTGTAAATCCTTCCTCACATGATTATTGTAATCTTGTAACTCCTGTCTCCTCTGATTACTGTAATATTCTAACTCCTGATTACTGTAATATTCTAACTCCTAGCTCACCTGATTACTGTATTATTCTAACTCCTACCTCACCTGATTATGGCAATCTTCTAACTCCTGCCTCCTCTGATTACTGTAATATTCTAACTCCTGCCTTCCCGAATTACTGTAATATTCTAACTCATGATTACTGTAATCTTGTAAATCCTTCCTCACATGATTACTGTAATCTTGTAACTTCTGTCTCCTCTGATTACTGTAATATTCTAACTCCTGATTACTGTAATATTCTAACTCCTAGCTCACCTGATTATGGCAATATTCTAACTCCTGCCTCCTCTGATTACTGTAATCTTCTAACTCCTTCCTCACCTGATTACTGTATTATTCTAACTCCTAGCTCACCTGATTACTGTAATATTCTAACTCCTGCCTTCCCCAATTACTGCCTTCTCTGATTACTGTAATATTCTAACTCCTGCCTTGCCCAATTACTGTAATATTAACTCCTGATTACTGTAATCTTCTAACTCCTTCCTCACCTGATTACTGTATTATTCTAACTCCTGTCTCCTCTGATTACTGTAATATTCTAACTCCTACCTTCTCTGATTACTGTAATATTCTAACTCCTGCTGTCCCCAATTACTGTAATATTCTAACTCCTGATTACTGTAATAACGTAACAACTGCCTCACCCGATTAATGTAATACTCTAACTCTCCGATTAAAGTTGACCCTGTCGTTCATGTTGAATGCCTATGCTAAACAATTCTTTAACAAGAATTTCTACCATTTTTACTGCTGTGCAGAGCACCACCAAATGTCAGGTGGTGATGAAACTGGGCAGTAGGAGATTGAACATTGGAAACTAAAACAGGAAATGGTGGAAGAAATGCATTTTTTTCAAGTAGATTTGTTCAGGATAATCGTTTAATTGTTTTTTTTCTTTTCACAAATACCGGTATTTTGTATTAATTTTTCCTGTATGATTTTGTTTTAATTTTAATTTTTTTGATTTGCCACACTTGCGGGTGAAGCAAATGTGTCAGTATAAAATATATATATATAATATACACATTTAGAAATTATAATCGAATTATGTTTAAAAAAGGGATCTGAAATGTTCCGAACGAGGCTGATCATTTTTAGTGAGTGCGCCCTCTATAGCATAAATATTGATCGGTGATGGCGGAAGTTTTGATTTTAACGTCGATTGAAAATCGGATGGATAAGAATAATCGCAAAGAGCCGTTTTAGGGACACTAAAGTGCCACAAAGATAATCAAGGTTGGTCTTAATTTGCGCCCTTCTTTAATAGAACATGTTAAACGCTATGTGTCCATCATATAACGTAACGTGCCATTGCTGAGCGCCTGTAGCACAGTCGCTTGTATAACTTAAAGGCGAACCTTCCAAGCCCAGGGATTGCACCAAAGAATCATGGGACACTATTGTTTAAATTGCTTACAAAGTTAATCTATCTTTTGTAATTTTAATTTAGAAAGTAAATTTGTTGTGAGATTAGGCTTAACTAGAAGTGCCCCTTTTAAGGCTCTTTCCATGGAATGAGTTCCTTTTGTACAACCAACCCTAACCCTAACTTTAACCCTCTCTCCCAGCTTCCGAATTCAACTGTCTATGCTCCCTCTTTATAACTTTTGGTGTCCTTAGGAGGAGCATATGCAATTAAATTGGGGAATACTGGACTGGAGGGGAGCGGAGGGGAGGATGGGGTAGGGTTAAAGTTAGTAGTAGGGGTAGGTGGTACTCTTTAATTCCTTAAATTTCCTAGTGTTTGGAAATTAGTTGCGTCGTCATTGATTTTCACAATGAAGAAACAGAAATGATCACAAAAAATATGCACATTTTATTACAATATTAGTTATGTACCACCAGAATTTACGAAATTAAAAACATTAGAGTCTGTTGGAACACAGTCGAAGTCAAAATTCTCATCATTATCTCCACTGACGAAGGTGTTGGATTGTACGCAAACTCTTGATGAAAATCACTTTCCGCCATGATGCATTTGCAGATTTGACCTGCAGCAGCGTCCTTTGACCTAATTGGTCAAGCTGGTTATTAACCAATCAGAATGCTGTGTTGTACCAACACAATTCTTCGGAAATTTTCGAAGAATTTCAGGTAAACGCAATGCAGAGGTGAATTATCAATGTCGAAGTACGATCTGTTGGAATTGATTTCAGCGAATAAACGACATGATTTTTCAAAAAAAATAGTAACTAGCCATTTTTGAGAGGTAAACTGAATATGGCATGAAGTATTTACCGCATTTTTCTTGTATTAATAGGTCATTGTCAGAGCATAGTTTACGCACGGTTACCGTGGTCTACACATTCACAACATATTCACAGCGACCAATATCTACGCTGTATCATATAAATGTGTACGTGTGTCAGATTTTTAGATGGAAGCCTGATGATCCACCTTTTGAAATGAACACACATGTCACAAAAATACAAAACTGCACTTGACAATGTTCTTGACTCATCATAGCTGAGTTTTGGATATATCTGCTTCATCTCATTTATCTATATCCAAAGTTCAAGTAAAGAATTACCCCGTCTTACCATATAAGGAAATGTTAGTAGAAATGGAAAAGAGACATGGAAAAGTCATGCGTTATGTTAAACAAGGTGAAGTACAGAAATTAAAATCTTATTTAAAGAAACACCGGAATCTGGATGTGAATTCAATTCAGGATGAGAAGAAGAGGACACCTTTACACATAGCTTGCCTTCTCAGTGATGATTTGGTAGTTAGGTGTTTATTAAAATCAGGTGCTCGCTGTGATCTTCAGGATATCGATGGTAATACACCCTTGCATCTTGTCTTAAATGATGTGCTCTTAGGAAACAAATCTGGTGAGTAGTAGATGAATGCTGTGCATGTAACCATGGAAATATCTATTGTTAATAGCTTCAATTAAACCAGTATGTATTCAAGAGACTTTGGTAGTAAAATGGTCTTTATAGACAAGTTGTTTTTTACAATACAGTCTCTGTCATTGGTAAATGAAGTAAATTGAAATCTTGATATATGTCATTGAGTATTTCTTGTTTTCTGTTCTTATTTATCATGTTTACTAAAACCAAAAAAAATCCAGAAAGCATCTAGTATATAGAGGTTGGATTCATTTTTATGGATCGCCAACTAATACGTAGAACAAATTCTGTCTAAAAATTAATGAGATGCAACTAGAACACATTTATTTGAATTGATCAAATTTGAAGATATTAAAAATTATAAACAAAATGCAAATTATTATTTTTAATTAAAGCATACTACCTCTATGATAAACATAACTTAGTATTAAATACATGTTTTCTTAACTTAATGACAGCACACTATTTTAAATGATCTTAATTTCTGAATATTTTATGGTTTGAAATTAGTTATTATTGCTACTCCAGTGTTTTTTTTTGCATGTGACTGCTACTCAGATGTGACTCAGGAATGTTTAATCTGACAATTATAAATTTGAACTTGACCTTTATACTGCAAAGGACTGTCAATTA